CTAATAAAATTGAATATATAATCAATGAAGAGAAAAAATTTTTTTTTTTTTTTTGGTACCAGGAATCAAATTCAGGACCTTGTGCTTGCCAGGCAGGCGCTTGAGCAAATGAGATATACCCCCGGCCGTAGCAAAAATTTAAAATGTGGAAGAAGTTATGAAAAGGATTGGCAACACATTGATAACTGTTCATGATATTAGTCTATTTGAGCATGTTTGAACATTTCCTTAATAAAGTTTTATTTTTTGCCTTAATAACATTTTAAAAAGCAATATACTCTTATTAAAACATAAAACTCCCTAAGGAGAAAATCTCAAGAAAAAGGATCAAAAGGAGAAAAGCTTGATGGGGCAGGGGGTTCACATGAAAGTGTCAGCCTATCATCAGCCTATGAATAGGGCTTCCCTTCTGCCACCAGAGCTGTTTCTTTTCTTCTAGAAGGACTTTTATATTAATAGCTTAAAGAGAGCTTGAAAATAGATCCCAAGTGTGGACTACACGTTCCTTACCTCAACAGTAAATATTTGAGCACCAATACATGCTGAACCATATGCAACGAACAGTGTACTAATTAAGACACACAGTCTGTACAATAGTGCTGTGAGCCTGTAGACCTAGCTACTCAGGAGGCTAAGTCAGGATTGCTTAAACTCAGGACTTTAAGGCCAGTGTGGGCAATATACCAGTAGCAAGACCCCATCTTAAACAAAAAAATAAAAACAAAGATTCAGAAGAAAAGCATCTCTTTTTTTGTCTTTCTGAGATAGGATCTCACTATGCAGTGCAGGCTGTCTTTGAACTCACTCTGTAGCCCAGGCTGGCCTTGAACTCGCAGCAATCCTCCTGCCTCAGCCTCCCCAGTGCTGGAATTACAGGTGCATACCACCACACCTGGGAAAAGCATCTAATTAGCTACTATTAAACCCCTAAGCAGCATCCTCATGTAGGAAAGGATGTTCATGATAACAGCAGCTGCTACCAGCACTTATTCTGAAATCTAAAGATCCTCAGAATGAGATGCTAGGATGGGAAAAGGGAAAAGGACAGAAAATAATTATGTGTCCACCATTAGGTCATTTGCCACAAAACCAAAAGACACAATATTCCAATCAGTTGTGCTTTATAGATTTAAGGAATCTAGAAAATGGGCTCATGCTATTTGGTCAACTGGTGGGGGGGATAAGTAGACTTCTATTTCACACATTCATGAGAAAAATTGTACATAGAGAATTAAGCAGTAGCTGGGCCTGGTGGTGAGCACCTGTTACCTCAGCTACTGAGAAGGCTGAGGTATGCGGATTAAAAATTTGAGGCCAGTCTGGACAACTCAGTAAGACCTTGCCTTATAATTTTTAAAAAATGTTGTAGCTTAATGGTAGAGCAACCTTGGGTTCATTTCCCAATACTATGAAGTGGAGAGAGAGTGAAACAGAGACAGAAAAACAGACAGACAAAGGGCCTAAGCATAAAATCCAAGACTACCAAGTATTTGAAAAAAATATAAAATACATTCTAATTTGGGGCAGAGTTTTGTCATACAAGATCCAGAAATGAACAGGTTGTTTGATCTTCCTCTATTATAATTAGCAACTACAATATGACCAAAACACCACAAAAAAGGTTTTTTTTTGGTCTTTTTGAGGCAGGGTCTCGCTATGCAGTTCAGGTTGGCCTTGAGCTCATTTTGTAGCCCAGGCTGGCCTCGAAAACGCAGCCTCCCAAGTGCTGGGATTACAGGCACGCACCACCACACTTGGCCACAAAATAAATTTTAAAGGCAAAAAATTAAAGAAAGAGGGGCCGGAGAGCTAGCTCACCAGCACAAGCACCTGCCTGGCCAGGGCAAGGTCCTAAGTTCGATTCCCGGCACTAAAAAATAAAACTAAAAAATGAAAGAAAGAAAAGTTCTTGCCCCCAGGGAACAATACACCTGAAAGAAACTGGGTCCAAAGATTTGTATTAGTGCCATCTCAGCAAGAGGAAGTCTCTGGAATTTATAAATTGCTTTTTGTGGCTATAAAAAGCTTAACAACCTCCTTATTTTAAAAACAATACTCCATGGCAAATAAAATAGCTGGACCAAAGAGCCTGAAAACAGAATCTCTGATGATCTACTTTGCATGGCTTCCTTTCGGCCAACTGGCCAATTTAAAACATTTTCAAGGTTGAGCTCATAAAGGTCCCTATTGAGCTTCAGGTTCTCCTGAACGATTTTTCTATGCACTCCCAAGTCAATCTGGCAGAAAACCTGCAAGTGGTGAGGCGCTGAGCTCGGGATGGGCCAGGCAGTCTGAACACTTGAGCATCATAGGCATCGTAATCTACTTGGATGGGAAGGGCATTCTCAGATTCTTTTGGAGTTCCAAGAGCTGAAATACACAAACATTACAAATCATCATTCAAACTCATTTTAAATAGATGTCTGCAAGAGGTCTTCAAAATCCGCAAGGAATAGGTAATCATCTACCAATAAGAAATGGAATGGAATAATAAGCCATTCATTAGGTTGTTGAGTTTAAATGAATTACATGTCAAAGTAACAAAGAAATAGTGTAGCACTAAATAAAGCCAAGGGTTGGTAATATCTCACTCTTCTGCGGTCCACCTTAAAAAATACCTTTATGTGTTTAGTGCTTTAAAACTTACTACTTAATCCCTACAACTGACCTATGGAAGAAAAAGAAAACCCAGTTGTGTCATCACATGTCCAGCAGTTGACAAAACAGAACTACAAGGTGATTAAGAGGTCTTCCACAGACAAAAGGAATTCAGGTCTCCGGCTTTTCTGTGAATCTTTTTAAGTGCCCTTACATAATTCTGTTGCCATGGGCTAGTTTATTCTTTTTAAAGTAATAAAAAACAAAAATCTCAAAAGATACTCACATGAATCACGGCCATTTTTTGCTTTCTCAGAGACAGGCTATAAAATTAAGCAGATATTTAATCATTCTCTAGTATAACAGAACTCATTACAACGTCCAGGATATACACAACTGCTTCCCAAGGCAGAGACCACGTCTTATCTCTCCCTGTAACTGATGAAAAGGCAGGAGATAGTATCTAACCTGCCTACCACAGTGTTACGGCTTCCTAGGTCCTTCTCTTCCACCTCACATCTCCTTTATTCCCACAGCCCTATCCAGTGGGAAAATGAACCTCGTTGCACAGGACAAGATACTCAACTCTACAGAACACAAAGGACTTGCCCAAAGCCACACAATTAGCAGGTGGCAGAAGCAAAATCCAAGACCAGACTCTCAGGCTCCTGGTCAATCCACAACTGTGTGTGTTCTACCATGGCTAGGTCCCATTTGACCCAAACGCTACTTCCTTCCTCCTCCATAGCACTATCATTCTTTTTTTTTCATTTTAAAGAGAAAACAAAAACAAAGACATAAACAAAAACAAAACAACACAAAAACTATAGAAATGATACAGAATTTCAAAATAAGATGACAGGAAATCAACAATGGTTGTTGTATTACTTATTGTTATCTTCAAAGTAGTTCCTCAGATTACCAGATATAGGTATACAAGCTTGATCCAACAATTAAACATTAACTGTCCCTTTCAATAAACCAATAGAAATTAGTAGTACAATTAACTATCTGGTATATATATACATATATTTTTTTCCTTTCCTTTTCCTTTCCTTTCTTTTCTCCTTTCCCTCATCCCAGTTGTTCTTTCCTGCTGAGCAGCTTCTTTCCCTTTCACGGTATCTATTGTACCTTTCAGATTTTATTTACTCTTTCAGGTTCTTACACTAGGGAGACAATACAGTGTTTACACATGCAGGTCTGGTTAGCACAATTACTCCTTTGCCTCTACCTACTAGAGCTGAGCACACTATAGGTCACCCAATTTGCTGAAATGGAGTAGAAAGGTGGAGAAAAAAAATGATAGAGGTATCACTTTAAATTTTTTTCTTAGCAAGTATTTTACAGGACTCTCAAACCTCCCATAACAATAATCATTTTTACTTTTAAAATTATCAAACTGCAGGGAAGTTCCTCCATGTTCCACTTTGATTAGAGTGGTTGTGTGAATGTATAAAATCTTTACAAGACAGAAGACTCTTTCTGGACAGAATCCCACCTCTCAGCATGTCATGACTTGAGATGGCCAAGTTTAGGGGTTCTCCTATCCCTCCAAATTAGTACTTTTCTTATTAGAAGACCAACATTAAAGCACAGGAGAGCCAGGCATGAAAGCACATGCCTGTAATCCCAGCACTCAGGAGGGTGAGGTAGGAGCATCACCATGGGTTTGAGGCCAGCCCGGGCTACAGAGTGAGACCCTGTCTCCAAAAAAAAAGTAGAGGAGAGGTATAGCAAGGAGGGGAGGGAGTGAAGAAAGGGAAGAAGGAAAGAAAGGGAGAGAAGAAAAGAAAA